GATGGATGGATGGATGGAGGGTTTACAGAAAGAAAGGTGAGAGCAGAATAAGTGAGCACAAATTAGACGTGTTAAAAGTGTCCTCAGGAGGCTGTTTTAAGGGTAAAAGGGGACGTTTGTGCTTGGTTTCTTGTTCCGCCGTCTTTGGAGAAGAATTTAGAGCACTTTAGATTGAGATTTATTTGTGTGTGTGTGTGTAAGGGGGTGGGTGTGTGTAGGGGGGGTTGCTGAGTGGAGAGAAGAGAAGGGGCATAAACATGTTTGGCTGAGTTCAGATGGATGGATGCACGCCCTGAAGTCCCTTCACAGCCGAGCTTTTACGACTCGAATCCATCAGTGAAAAGTGTGTCTTCCCACCCAACCCCACTCCCTCTGGACCAAGCTCAGACCAACTGGAGAACAGGTCCAGTAGCATGAAATCAAACTCTTGGGGCTACTCAGTTGGGTGTTTTCCAGTTTACCTGACGTCAAAGCTCCTCACGGGCCTCGAATCGGCAAACTGACGTGAATCGGGCGTGTTGAAGCAAGGCAAGCTCCTCAAAAACTGCTGGACAGCGGCCCAAAGAGGTCAGGAGCTGGACCCCACCCAGACCTACACCAACAACCAGAAGCCTTGTGGCAGCTTTAATGACGGATTACCTGACTTGTATGAGAAATTGCCCCCTTTTTAAGTCGTAAATAGAGATAGATGTCGTCATCAGTCGTAAAACCCGGGTAGATTTGTGTGATTCCACATTCTCTTGTTGAAGAAAAAAAACTGTTAAATGGAAAGAACGTATATATCGAACAACATGGTGAACAACAGCACTTTTCACACACACTCTTAGGCAACCTTGAACAAGGCAAGAGCTTCAAAGTGACACAGCATCCCCGATCGATCCAATTATCAATGAGAGCCGATGACAGCATCGTGTCCGACCCCCAGATTCCTGGAAACTCATAAGCAGGTCCTTGTTTATCCATACTGCCACGAATTGTGAATTCACACAAGTACAGCGGGCACCAAACTGCCTCTTTCATCCCGCACAATGCTGCTGAATAATTCAAGAAATCTGTACGAAGCTGAGTGGGGAAGACTTGTAGGCTTTGTGTTGTTGGTTTTGGTGGGGAGAACCTGGTCATTTCAGGCCACTCGTGTTTTTATTACGGTTTTTAAAGGTGATCGGTCCGAGGAACACGGGCTTTGGAATGATTGCTGTCGATTTTGTTGTCGGGGTATCCGAAACGCGTGGAAGAAAATGAAGGGTCGGGTGGCTCTTGAGTGTGCTGGTGCTGTTGTTGGTCAGAAAAACGAGCGAGGAAGGGAAACTGATCTTAGAATACAGACTGTTCAGGGCAACTTCTTCACTCCAGAAATCGATTGTTGTCTCTCCATGTAGACGGACACCTTAATAGGAGAAGAAATAGAGCCTGAAAAGGGTCGAGTCGCAAACCTTTTCACAGCGACCATCTTATGAGTTAAGACCCCATGGGTCCATGCATTAGTAATAAGCAGTAGCTACCTTCTTACCAAACTAACAAACTAGAATTTGGTGCTTAATACTGTGCAAACAGCTTGTTAAAGTCTGCCTGCATTTCCCCAGTGTGAGAAACACATGTAAATACCCGCAATTCATGACATCTTCAAGGTTTTAATGCTGAATAACTAGGATTCTCCTTTATTAAAAGTAATGAAACCAGCAAATCTTGAAGGAAATATGCTAAATTTACATGTGTAAATAAAGATATCGGCTGATCAGGGGGAAAAACCCAATAATGGCGTCCAGCCTCTATAAGTAAGTCGCCCCTTCCTCTTCACCAGTAAAGAGGTTTGCCTTCAGGGGACCGAGTATCGAGGTGAGATAAACAGAGCCTGACAGCGATGACACCCCCTGTAATGAGGACAGCCGGCTTGTCACGGTGTTGGCTGAGAGTGCGAACCGTGGACCTTTTCATTCCGTCTCCATTCAGCGGCGGTTTGCCGTGTCAATGCCTTCCTGAAAACAGGCCGAAGATAAAAAAGCAGAAGATAAAAGCTGAGCGGGCAGCAAACCAGCTCCCACAGCCAGATGCTTTTGATTCTGTTAAGATTTTTATGTGAAAGCCTTTCTTAAGTATTTGTAATTCTATTAACCAAAGATGCTCATAGAAATGATTACTTCCATTACACGTTGGATGATACGATATTCATAATTTTCTATGCTGAAGATGACAGGTCCTGGGGGGTTTTTTAGGTTTACGTGAGTCCTTTTTTCAGGGCTGATGCTTAATTGTGCAATACATCCCACCTATTTCATGCGCTCGGTCCTTATAGGCTTGACAATGACGGTCTCTCATTGTTGGGGTGTTCAAATATCTCAAAAGTCTGCATCTGATCCATAACTCCAGAGCTCCCTGCTGAAACTAGAAGCGGTTATGTAGTGAGAAACCAGCTCATAGCTTGGAAGTCAGGAAGAAAAAAGCTTCCTAACCTTTAAATTGTGCTTGAAACTTCCCTTTTGTAACGTAAATGGACAAAACCGCCGACCTGCTCGGTAGTCGACTGCACCTTCTCAGCTACAGCCGTCCCCTAAAAGCCAACTAAAAGCTTGTCGGGATTCTCTGAGTTCAACTTTCCTCAAAAGCCCTTTAAAAAACGCAGTTTCGAATTCTATTAACATGGAATTTATTCATAACTCCCCGAAGCTATCTCCTGGATGCGTGGCCCCAGGTTCGCTGGCAGCAAATGAGAAGATCAATACAAAACCCCATGACTTTTTAAGGAGTCGGGCAATAAATGTAGAATTTCATGAATAAAGCTGATTCTGAATAAAGAAACAGATCTGATGGGAGGCTGAGCCGTCAAAAAGATGTCAAGGAGGAAAACCGGAAGGAAGAACATAGTTTGTAGCTAACCCGATGTAAAGTTGTTTTACTTTGTTTTGGATTTGAAACACACAAAATACAAGATCTGTTGTTTTCAAAGTGTGCCTATCAATCTCTCGCAACAATTTCATGGCTTCTGTCTCTTCCCCTTTTCTAGCAGAAGGCAGTCTGAACAGCTAATGGCTGTTACAAACTTTATCGTATTGCCGTTTCCCCTGTTTGTGGGTCGGCTGATTGGGATTCAGCTGCAGGCCGAGGCTTTCTGCACACACGTTGCATAAACTGAAGCCGCTCGCCAATCTCTGCTGCTCAGACCAGACTGTGGGCCGATTAAAAATTGACATCGGGGTTAAAATTTGATGCCGGCGCGCCTGTTTGCCTGTCAGAGACACACTGGTAACGTGATGCTGCGCGGCAGGCGTCGCTCAGACTGTATCTGGAGGTTCTCGGTGCCACATCGATGCATATTCAACGTCCATGGGGGGGGGTGTTTGTCGGATATTTCCCCAGACGGTGCCATCCGGCCGTCTTTATCTAATTTTACAGGTCACAGGTCACACGCCGCTGTTAGCCCGATTCTTTAGTTGGAAGCCAGAGAATAAACCAGAGCAGATCAAGAGTACAAATATGACATTTATTGGTCACAAGCAAAGTAAATCAGCGATGGGCTCTCACAGACAAAGCTCCCTGAGGATCTCAGTCTGGAAGAGCCTCGATTTCCGGGTGTGATGGACAGTTTTCCTCTGGGCCTCGAACAGTAGGACGGCTGGACGCAACCGAGTGTTATTGGCCAGTTAGCTCTGACATAAACAGGCCAGGTCCTAATTCATGCAGGTTTCGGTTAAATGTGATAAGAAAGTGTGTGTGTGAGTGTTGAGCTTGAAGATGTGTATCTACTGTAACAGAGAGAAGAGTAGGCAGAGCCCGAGAGTTTAACACAAAAGTATCATTATAAAGGGAATAACATGAATCTAAAAAGGAATAAGAAGATCAGTCATTTACATGGATTAAGTTATAACATACTGTGCCAAAGTGAGTAATTACAGCCCAATTCCAACATCGCCTTTTCAGGCCACGGAACCGTATCTGTGAAATCCACGTGAGTCTTGAAGACGAAGTCCCGAAACGAATGGCATTTTTCGAAGGAGGCCCAGCCTTTTCTTCGGCCAGTCGGCCTCCATGAAGGATGGATGAATGCCGAATGGGATTTGCCCTCTGTTAACGGTGCCGTATCCTCTCCGAGGTTTTTCCAAAGGTGTATGTGTTGCCTGCGGGCGGAACGTGTCCTGTAATTGGTGGGGGGGAAAAAAAACCCAACTTGCACACAGCGAAGAAGAAGAAGAAGTAGGTGTTGTTGATACAGTTTGCAGCCGCAGGTTGAATCTCCGGAGAATCGGCCTGTCTGAGCCTGAGGCTCTGCACGCTGTTGTGACCTATAACAGGTGACTTCCAACCCATAATGCAATCTGACAAGGAATGGTAGCTAAGAAAGGGGGGGTTCCCAATTCAGTCACCTATGTTTGGTCACAACCACTTATTGTACTTTATTAGAAAAAGGAAGGAGGGATTGAAAGTCTTGATCAGCCTCTGATTGTGTTTGATGTAAGTGATTTGTTCAGTTTTCTTATATGTCCCGTTTTGGTTTTGTTTTAAAGAATATTCATCTGATTTACTTCATCTGTGACATTTTCCAGCTAATTTGATCAGCTTTTCAGAGCAGTGTTTGGCAGTGGTCTCCTGCTGAGTTCTCATGAATACTCCACATCTCAAGACAGGAGTAAAATAAGCGAGTATCTTAAATTCCAAGAGGCAGCATTTTGGTTTCAGAAAGACAAAAAAATAAATAAAAGATAAATAAAAAATAGACATTTTTATCAGCGAATGCTTTTTTTATTTGATTGACATGCTCTTTCCTGCGTTAAATGATCGACGGTATTCAGAAGGGTTGCAGGTAGCGGCTGCGAACCACAGCGATTTTTTCCCCGTTTGTTGGTTTCCCGCCAGCTTTTTGGGACCGGCTGAACAGGCCCGACCGACGGGGCCACGTCGTTTAGATCAATATCAGTCTGAGGTTTTGTTTGCAACGGCAACAATTCCAAACCTCACCACTCCCCTTTACAAACCCCGTCTAACTCTCGTCACCCTGACCCTAGAGATCATTTCGCCGGCATTATCTTCAACGGCTGTGCGTTCACAACGTTAAAGTACGGAAACAGCTTCTCTGAGAAATTGTATTTGAAGGTGTGTATGTGTGTTTCGGAGGCAGCGTCAGAGAACGAAAGCCTGCGCTTGTCACAGTCCAGATGGACTCTGATCCGGTGGAATCTCTTGGTTATCGGGAGGACTCCCGGGGGATCGACCCCAGAGTCCGCCGTGTACTCCCCATCGCAGAAAGCTACCTTCAGTAGCTTCGACGGGTCGTTGTTATTCTTCTGAGGGGACGGCGCTAGCACCCCCAGGGCCCACAAGGAGCTGTCTCCCACCTCCACGTCCCAGCTGTGAGTCCCCGAGTCGTACCCGGCGGATCCCAGGACGGCGGGGTAGGAGTAGATCCTCTCCGGATTGGCCGGAAGCTTCTGCCTCTCCCGGCGCGTGACGCTGGTCAGGTCCTCGGACAGCCGGAGGTCCGGGTGGGCGCTGTTGGGGTCCAGGATCACCGGCCAGCGGGACACCTGTTAGGATTTGGTTATAAATACTCACTTTAGCGTTGTTTGCTATCACATGATCTATGTAGATTACTGATTGTTTTATTTTCTTTTATAAATATATGAAGTCTCTGGCTGTAACCACAGATTTCTCTTTGTTCTCTCTTTTCTTTCTCAGTTGCATTAGATCCACGTCTTTAAGTCAACACACACACACACACATCATTTAGTACCACATTCCAATGTCATCAATATGAATTACGACCTGGCTTGTTAGTCTTACAGATAACTAACCAATAGGACTTGGTTGTGTCCAGTCCTCCTTTTGAGGGGTGTGCCCAGGTCAGGAGACAAACACCCATCACCCCCAGATCTCAGGGCTCTTTGCCGACTGAGACCCTGAGAGAGAGGTTTCCTCTGTGAAGAGCCCAGCGCTGAAACACTTTACCTGTGACCCAATAAATCTCAATTTTTTACTCTTGATCGACTCTGGTTTATTCTCAGGTTTCCAACTAAAGAATCGGCTTAACACACCCAGCCCTTCATCTTCTCCCAGACGCCGAAGCTCAGGTTGCCCAGGTGCTCGGCCAAGTCCACCAGAAATTATTACATGCATTACACGTTGGATGATGTGATATTCATAATTTTCTATGCTGAAGCTATCAGGTCCTGGGGTGTTTTTTAGGTTTATGTGAGTCCTTTTTTCAGGGCTGATGCTTAATTGTGCAAAACATCCCACCTAGTTCATTCACTCGGTCCTTATAGGCTTGACAATGACGGTCTCTCATTGTTGGGGTATGCAAATATCTCTCTCTTAAATATCTTTCCAACTAAAGAATTGGCTTAACACACCCAGCCCTTCATCTTCTCCCAGACGCCGAAGCTCAGGTTGCCCAGGTGCTTGGCCACGTCCACCAGGGCGCCGGCGGCCGTTGGAGGGGCGTCCAGCAGCAGATCCCGGCGGGCCGCCTCCACCGTGGCCGCGTAGTTCTGCAGGAATGGCACGTCGGCGGACCTCAGCTGCAGCTCCACGGCCCCGGCTGTACCAGAGAGGGAGGCCATCCCCTTGGTCAGCTCTTGAATCTTTTCCTTCATCTCCTGAGCTTTTTGCTGCACTTCGTCCATCAAAGCAGAAACCCTGGCGTCCTCCTCCTCTTGCAGAAGCCGGCGCAGATTCTCGAACTCCTCCCTGATCTGCCTCTCGGTGTGGTGGGCCTGGAACTCAATGTGCCCGGCCGTCCGGTCGTAGTCTTCGCGGACCTTCTCGAAGAGGTCCATCTTCTCCCGGACAGACCTGAGGAGCTCCCGGACGGCCGGTCGGTACTCCTCGGCCGCCTCGTCGCAGGGCCGGAACGTGTGCTTGTCGTGGGCTTTGGAGTCCCGGCAGATGAGGCACACCGGCCGCTGGTGCTCCAGGCAGAAGAGGCGAAGTTTCTTCTGGTGCACGCCACAGAGGGGCTCGGACCTCTTCGGAGCCCCACGGTCTCGGTCTCGGAGAAAGGCCTCGCACAAGTTCCTCAGAGCCAGGTTGATAGGCGGCTCGCGCTGCTGAGACAGTGCCTTGCAAACCGGACAACTGTTGATGATTTTGACCGACCACCATTTCTGCAGACAGCCTTTGCAGAAGCTGTGGCTGCAGGACAGCAGAACCGGATCCTTGAAGATGTTCTGGCAGATGGGACAAGAAAGATCCTCCTCTGTCTGTGACGCCATTTTTCTCTTCTTCTTCTTCTTCTAAACTGCCTATAAAAAACTACAGAAAGATGAACAACATATGAGAAATAACTTTAACCCTCAGGTTGTTTTTCTTAGCCACCTCCATCATTTCTGCATGCTCCAATACTCACGGTATTCCCCGTTTTCTCTCCTGTAGCTCTTCTCCTGTAGCTCTTCTCCATAGACGACACTCCGAGGTTTTGATTTTGGTTTTCGATTGTGAACGAAAGTCTTTCTCTCAGGTTGGTTCCTCCTGTATTTCTTGCTTTGTCTCTCGTCAGTGAGCCGGGTGAGGGGAGGAGCCTGACCCTTTAGTGCCAGTGAAGGTGCGGAAAGGAGGCGGGTTAACCCATTATGCGGATCATATCTGATACAGAGACTTCTGCCACCTTTTGCATCACATGCTTATTGATTTTTAACCAAACATTTGGGTCATATATATAAAAAATATATAAATATATATATAAAAAAAGCTGCTTTTAGTTTTAGGACAATAATAGTGGAGTGAAATTGTGGTTAAGTCAACTTTTTGTTAAATTTTCAGGAGAGAAAAATGATCTTTGTGGGTGTAGATGTAGAAATTTAAAAGGGAAAACAATATTCTGAACCAGCTTAAAAGTCTATTTGCCCTGAGCCACTTTATCCTCCAGCGCAGCCCGAACCCTCTTCAACCAGCTCCGTGTCCTTTCTTTAAGGGGTCTTCAGGCTTCTTGAAGTACTTTCCAGAGCTCTTATTTGGATGTTGGCTGCCTGTTGCCTCTGTTCTTCCACCGTTTGACCCACTACCTCTGGTTTTCAATCCGATTCTTCTGCTACTTCAGGCTTCTCTATCCATTTTCCTGCTTTGCTTGTTCCTTCTGAGAGAAGAAACATTAAAAAAGCTGTAAAACAGTTTGTTTTACAAGTAGGAAAAATACTTTTAGTCACCTCAGTGGGGGAAAATCAATGATCAAGGAGCTTAAATTGAAAAATTACATGCTGAAACATCTTCCTATTTCTATCCTATGCATGTGTACAATGCGGATGGCCTGATTTATTCAGAACATGCTCTGACAAATTAGTCCCTCACAATGCAAACAGGTTGAAAAACTGAAGGGCTCAAGAGAGGAGAGACTTAGTGGTGAAATACAACTGTTCGCCTGGGTTCGGCAACTGGTTTTTCAAGGCAAACTGCCTTTTCCTTTTTAGATAAGAGCCTTCTCTTTGCACCACTGGTGGTACAAAACTAATTTGACGTGAACTAAAGCACAGACGATATCATTAACATGGCTTCGGTTTATCAATATTACATTCAAAATGATGATAGTTTCTAGCATGTGGGTTTGTTTCCTTTTCAGACCTTTTCACAAAGCATCTGTCGGTTCTTTTGATGGGAAGAGGGGAACAGGAATGGGTGAAGGCTGTTTGGAGGAGCAATCGATGGCGTGCAGGTGCCCGTCGGCTTCATTTAGTCGGAGACGCTGAGACTCAGGTTTCTCAGAGTTTTCAGCCAGATCCATCAGGGCTCCTGACACCAGGCTATTAATGAAATCCTCCAGCAGGGGGCACTGCTGGACTCTTCCCTCTGTGGCCTCCACAGCTCTGCCGGAGGAGCAACACATCCTCAGTTTTCAGCTCTTCTTCTGTGGGTCTGATAGAAGTGTTATCTCCCAGGTAAGACCCCTTAATCTGCTTTATCGTCATCTAAGCCCCTCCGCCCCTCCTTGTCCTTCAGGGTTCAGAGGATCCTGACCTCCTCTTCCTCAATTTGAAAGCAGTGAGAGGCAGAACGGCTGAAAAGGCTCCCCGTGTCTCTGGGGCCTGGAGCTGTTCGACTGCTGTTCTTCAACTTGCTCCAAGAAGTTCGGATCCTCTCTCACGTGGTCTGGACCTCAGGAGCTCGGACCCCCGATCAATCGGTCTTTTTCTTTTTGATTTAGTTTAGTTCAAGTCCCATGTCACGAATTGGACACCCTCCTCGTTTTATACCTCTCAGACCAGATATTTTGACAGGTTTTTCCATTCTAAGATTGTTGTAAAAGGTTGAAGTAATCATCTGCTGGTGGAGAGGTCCTTATTTTTTTGGTCTCCTGGAATATTGCAAAGAAGAAACCTGTGAATTTGTTCTTTAAACAAACTACATTATAGATCGTGATCTGTATCCGAGGGACAGAGGTGAGATGGGGGGGTTGTCAGGCTTATCACTATGTCTATTGGACCACAGTTTGAGGGTTATTGGTCAGGTATGATCTCAGCAAAGTACGAATGAAGACCACAGCAGCAAAGGAGGCTTCTGTTACGATACGTTTCAAAAACTTTTAGTTTTCAGAGAAAACTGCTTGGTAACGGCCTCTGAAAAGCAGGAACACTAAAAGATAACTCCAACTCTCTATTGAAATGAAAAGGCGGGATTTATGATTCTGTTGCCTGTTGTTTCTTTCAGAAAATGACTGTTCTGCTCAGGAGGAGGAATTAAATTTGATGCCTCGATACAAAACAAAATTGCCTGTAACTTATTTGAGCCCCCTAAAAAAAAAGCCATTTTCATGCTTTCTGCCTCTAAAAAATGTGATGTTCTTATTTTTTCCATTCAACGGGGGTTTAGAAATGTGGTCAAAACTATCTTGCTTCAATTTTTTCTCATATATGGGGCTTTCTGCCCTACGTGAGATACGGCGGAACCTCCATCAGCTCTCAGCCTCACATGTTTTCTTTTGCCACATCACATCTGGAACCAAATGAAATCTCTCGGTACATTATCTTCGGTCTCATCTGCGGCTCAAAAATGGACCCAGACGACTCCACGAGGTCAAAGAAAACTGGACTCGGTGTGGAGTAGAGCTGGGACAACCTGCACAATGAAAATGGGGACAGGCTGTTATCTGAGCGGGCCTCAATCATCGCCCGGCTTCCCTTTTGTGCGGCACGGCAAAAGAGTCTAAATGATCGTATCTGACTGACAGGAAGAAAGAAAAAGACACAAATCCCAAACTTGATTCTGAAACAGAATCAAGCAAGAAGTCCAGAATTTGTGTTTTCTGGTCTTGGTTGGTAACTATTTGACGTTCCGGTTCGGGTTTTTCTGGGTTTTGTTGGGTTCTGTTTTCTTGTTTGTGATTGCTGCATCGTGGGTTTGAATTCTTTGCTTTTTCCAAGTCAAATTTTCTTTCTTTTTCTCTTTTGCTCATTCTGGATGGATGGTTTCTATCAAGCTATGTCTGATTCTCTCCATTAGTTGTCTGTTTGACGCCTTCTGATTGGATTTATTTGTTCAACTTCTCATCGTCCAGCCCGGTTGCTCCTTCGATGCCTACATTTGAGTCCTCCTCAAACTCAACCTCCAGCCTTCAGCCTTCTGGCTTCTCTGTGGAGATAGAAAACGAGGATTTTCTGTCAGGGGCCGCCTGCAAATTGATTATTTCTTTCTTTTTTAAACTGGAGTGGGAGGATTTGATTATCATTTTTGTTTCGTGAAGTAGAAACGGACTTGGAGATCATTTCTAAAGGTTATTCTTTCAGTGTGTACACAAAAACATTCTGATCTACACCACCAGCCGCGTCCTCGCCACGTTTAACCTAAAAACGATTCACAAAGTTCCCTCAGCGTTATTAACCTTACAATCTCTGATACAGTCAAAGAGACGTAGCCCTGTGCGACTTGGTATTCGATATAGAAGAAAACTAAGTCTTTATCATTTGCATGACTGAATAACAGGAAAATTTCCCTTTCAAACTTTCTAAAGTGTTTCTGGCTGATGGAAATATAAGTTAAAGGTTTTATGTTCGTGAATATAACCGCTGTTAAGCTAAAGGTGAAGGAACCCAAAACTGAACTCTGGACAACTAGAGCCGGGTAAAAAAACAAACATGTCTCCGTTTGTTGGTCTGAATCTCGTTCCCCAGAAAGGATGACATGTCATCAGCTCATCTTATCGATCCGTGCACGCTTTCGTTTGTTAGGACGCCACCTTTCATTGACCAGTCTTCGGGTGAGGCCCTACTCGGCGTGCCCCCTTGTTTCGAGACGAAAACGCGCGCCCGAAAATATCGAAAAGGCATTTTGATAACACGAGACGGGTATCGATCGGTAAATCCGAGTGTGACGTCACGCCGAAAAGAGCATTGATGAACGAGGCTGGACGGGAATATAGATAAGGTCCCCGGTTGGCTGTTGGAGGTCGCTGCAATTTGTGTGTGTGTGGGTGTTTGTGTGTGTGTTTTGAGAACTTCTTCATGCCACTGTATGGCCTTCTGTAAACAATAACATCTCAGAATGAAGGAAGCAAGCAAAATCGTACATTTTTTGAGGATCCGCTCACGTTTCCTGACACGACAGGTAGGTTTTTTTAAGTCAAACTGGTATAGCAAAGTACAGGGCTGTCAGAAAACCTGATTCTCATGGTATGAAGCCTTCCTGTCAAAGCCTCTGACATCTGTAAGACCCCTACAAGACCACCGTGGGAGTCAGAGCTTTGGCCTACTGAGCGGCAGAGGGCAACAGATGTTGATTTCTGAAAAGGGAGATTTTGGAAAGTCAAAGGAGCCTGAGGCTTGCTATGGTTTTTTATTTATCCACTCCTTTTTCCTGGTTCAGGGACCATAAGTTCTATACATTTCGATAGGACAAGAAAAAAGGTTTACCACACTTAAAAATACCTGGAAGGAAACATCTGGAAAGTCACGTTATAAAAAGATTTGCTTATATATTTTAGATATTTGTAGTTATCCTGGTTTTGTCAGTCGGTAAGGTGTGGTTATTGTGTCTCATTTGATTCTTAGAATGGGGCAAAACGGCAAAGCTAAGGTAAAAGAATCGAGTTTTTAAAATCTGAACTAATTACTCTAAAATGAATGCTGAGGGGAGCAATTCTACAGAGTGCTTCAGTGTGTGTGTGTGTGTGTGTGTGTGTGTGTGTGTGTGTGTGTGTGTGTGTGTGTGTGTGTGTGTGGCACCACGCTGTGCTACCCATTTTCACAGTGTGGACCGGTCATTATATTTTATGTTTGTTCTGCAGTGTATGCCTTCAGATGAACGTATTTGCTTTTTTTTATAATCCAGACCAAACACACATTAATATCAAGACGTGAATAAGGCTCTTTCCACCTCCTGACATATCAAAAATGACTTTTTTTCCCAGAGAAAACAGGGTGTGGATTGTCCCGAAAGCCAAGGGCTTAAAATCTGCAAGTTTTTTTACTTTATAAGCCTTGGTGGCTTATACATTTGAGCTCATTTCAAGTTTGGTTTGTCAAATAACGCATTTTTTGAAGGGGGTTTTCTGGGGTAATGAGTTGTTCTTTCTTTCAGAGGAGAGGAGGAAATGTCTTCCAGGCTCTTGTCCAGATCATGGACTATTAATTGGACATAAGTAAAGGTTTTGTTATTAAGTTTATACATTTATTTGAATATGTTAAGACAAAAGCAACTGTGTTTGGACCAAGAAGGCGTAGCTGGAGATGAATAGGCCAACGTGGAGAAACGTTTTTTTTCACCAAAATAATTATTTCCCCACTTATTTCCCCTTTTGTACCTTTCGGTCCCAACAAAATAACCATAGAATTGGAAAACAAATGCACTGCAACTCTTAAATTGCCTTAATTAAATGTCAGTCACATTCTTTGGTAAAAAGCTCTTTAAAAGATCCTTTTTTTTGGTCATCAAATGGCTCATTTCATGAACTGGATTCGCTTTAGACATGGGGTGACCAGCTACTCGCATTTTTAACTTGCATAGTTCCTCCATCGGCAAGTTTTTAATGCCAAAAACACAATTTTTTTTGTTGTTGGCCACATTTCACCTGTAAAAGATGATCTGAAAAAAGCAAAATGGCCCCGCTTCTCCTCTTTGTGGAGCACCGGTCACAAAATCCCACATCTGTCCGACTCCCGTCTCTTTGTCACTTCTTTGTTGTCGCCACTGTATACAAAAAGATAAATAAATGCTGTAATACCCATTCATTCTCCTCTCATCTCTCCATCCTTTGTGGGATGAGGGGGTGCTGTAACTCAAAATAAATGACATCTCAGGTCTGAGGAAGAAAAAAGCAAAAAAAAAACTGATTTTTTATTTATTTACTACAATTAGTCTGTTTGGTCTTTCTTGGATAAAGGATGTGAGAGGTTATTTATCAGAATATACGTATGAAAAAACATGTTATTATGAGTTTGTTCAACAGCAGATAGAATGACATGACAGTGTGTGTGTGTCTGTGTGTGTGTGTGTGTGTGTGTGTGTGTGTGTGTGCAGTCACACACTAGCTGGAAAAAGGTGAAACGGAGGGCAAACCATAGTTCCAGCACAACCGAAGAAGTGATGTAGAACGAGAGGGGATCTGACAGACGGACAAAGAGAGACACGGGAAATGAAAACAGGGAAGGACGGCGGAAAAGAGAAGGAGTGGCAAGGTGAAGAGCGGGTTTTCAGACAAACTGCCACAGTCACTCACGTCCCAGACAGCAGCTTGGCTTTTCCCATCAGCTTACACACCGACCACACACTCCGAAATCACACACACACACACACACACACACACACACACGAGCCGTGCCTTCCAGAGGTTTCTGGAACTCCTCTTTTCTATTAATATGACAACTCATAAACCTTTCAGCTTTAAATATAAAT